CCGGTGCATAACCCCTACTTTTCTGCAGTTTAAATTATATTTGTGCATTAAGTTTTCAGGAGTCGAATGAAATCCACTTGCATATATATATATATATATATATATATATATATATATATATATATATATATATATATATATATATCCTATGAGTCTTACTAGTATGACAGAATCGTGTAGAATGCTATGCTACAGGACTCCGGTAGAAGTCGAGTGATCGCCTGTCACTCGCGAGAGATAGGAAATATATTATTGGATTATTATCACTTGGAAAATACAAAAATGTTGGAAAAGAAAAATGGTGACCGGGCAGGGATATGGTTTGGGTATTGGTGGGTGTAAGAGGTCGTGTCGCCGTGGACACGGGGCATGGCTTGGTTACACTGCTTTCCCTGTCTGGTCGGTTAAGGACCGATCGTTGCATAAGACTTTAGGCAAGTCACAGACTTATTATCCCGAGCACATACTTGGGTATGGGCTCTTGGAAGACTTGTTGCTCTCTTGTCACGGATCCGGCTCTTTCTGGACCGACTGTCAGGGTTTGTTTTTTGTGGAGGAGGTCCTTGCACCGCTTTGAGTCCAGGACTCAGGGGCGGGGGCTTAGAGTCTCAGTTTGGACGGGAACCTGGACACCCGAGATAGGAGGGTAGTGGGTTAGTCCTGCTTGTGCCTTGGGTACAAGCGGGGCATGTGTTTTCGGGGTACCCAGCTGGGGGCATTGATTCACGAATCGCCGAGCGATTCGGTATGGCTTGTCTGCGGTTTAGCATCATAGTAAGAACTAAAAGATGAAAGATGGAATGGAAAAGGAACTCTGATTGCTTACCACCTGCTTAAAAGTAGCACAGGTGCTTACATAGAATGGTTAGTTAATGAACCAATGTGGCTATTAATAAAAATTGAATATAAGAACGTACGCTTAGTAATGCTTTCTGCAAATGCAATAAACCCACAAGCCAGATAGCCTTGCATATCCTTGCTTTTCTTTCCTCCTGTCGGGTAAGTCTTGCTGTGTACAATTGAGTACTTAGGGTTTTATTCCCCCTATTGCAGGTGACAGCTGGATGCTAGAGCTGACTCTTGTGTGTGGATTCCTCCTGGTGGGCTCAGAGAGGATTTCCTTTATGCTGCGATCATAGTTTTTATTTATAACTCTCACCAAATGTTTTATAAAGGAAAGTTTTATAATATGTTGTCATAGTTTACATATCAATGTTTCACCATGCCATGAATAGATAATTATTTCCGCTGTAATTCTGATCACATGTTTATATTCCGCTGTTACATTAAATTATTCATAACTCTGATAATATGATTACATTCCGCTATTATAATAATACACATTATACTCTGATGTTGTACTAAAAATGATGTAAGAAATGGTTAAGAATGATGTAAGCTTTTTGCTCTCATTTGTGATCCTGATGTAAAAATGTGGATTTTTTTGTTCTCCCCTGGGGTGTGCCCGATGGAACTGAGTAATTTAGTGTTCTCCCTTGGGTACTTAGTGTCTAATGGAAGACAAGTACTCCTAGGAGGCATTAGATTAGGCGGTTCTGCCACAGTGGGCGCGCAAGGCGAGGTCGAGCTCTCCGTTGTCGGGCCTTCTCCTTCTCAGCACGGCGGTGGCGTGGGCGAGCGATGGCGAGGGCTGCTTCCTATGTACTTGATTGGAGCGATGGGAGAGGATGCCGTGGATCTTTTATATGTGAGTGGAGGTGATTTCCTTTGTACATGATTGGATCGGTGGAAAAGATCTGCGTGATTTTAGGAGGAGATCGTGACCGCCGGGGAAGAGAGCAGGGAGGAAATCACGCGCGGAGGCCGGACGAGGCGAGGGCAGGTCGGGCTACGGGCGAAGTCTTCTTCTGCTGCTGCGCAGAGGCGCCAGAGCGAAGCGAAGCTATGCTGGGCTCCTTGCCACGGTGTGGCGTCGTCTTTTTCGGCAAGGAGGCGGGGACGAGGAGGAGTCGCTCATCTGTGCCTGACAAGTAGACGCGGCCGGATGGCCTTGCTGGGCGGGGCTAGCTTGGAGGGGAACGGCGACGGCGTGGACGAATGCGTGGGGAGGGGGAGGGAACGTGGGAGAGGCGGCGGCGGCTTGGGTGCGCGCACGGGGATGGGAGGGAGTGTGATTGGAGGGAGATGGAGCGTGATTTGAGGGGACGGGAGGGAGCGGGCGGCGGGGGACGTGGTATCGCACGGACAGAAAGGAGACAGGTGGATGCTTGAGCTGACTTTATGTGTGGATACCTCCTAGTGGGCTCAGCGAGGATTCCTTTACGCTGCGATAGTAGTTTTTATTTATAACTCTCACCAAATGCTTTTATAAATGAAAGTTTCATAATCTGTTGTCATAGTTTATATATCAATACTTCATGTCATGCTTAGACATTTATTTTCGCTGTAATTCTGATCAAATGTTTATATTCCGCTGTTAAATTAAATTATTCATAACTCTGATAATTTGATTACATTCCGCTGTTGTAATAATAAATGTTAAACTCTGATGTTATATTAAAAGTGATGTAAAAAATGGTTAAGAATGGTGTAAGCTTCATTCTCTTATTTGTGATTTCTGGTGGAAAAAATGTGGATCTTCGGGTTTTTCCTTGGGGTGTGCCCGACGGAACCGAGTAATTTAGTGTTCTCTTTTGGGTGCTTAGTGTCTAATGAAAGACGAGCACTCCTGGGAGGCAATAGATTAAGCGGTTATATATATATATATATATATATATATATATATATATATATATATATATATATATATATATATATATATATATATATATATATATATATATATATATATATATATATATATATATGTGTGTGTGTGTGTGTGTGTATAGCAAAATCATTAATCATAAAACATAAATTTCGTGTCCTAAATGAATTCAAATGACAAAGTCATCAACTATAAAGTTGCATACATCTTCCGGTACTATAACTTTGGTTTATGTCGTTTCTCCTTCTAAGGTCATTTGAAAAATTCAAAAAAATATGAATATCAAAATCATTAATCTTAAAACATAAATTTTGGGCCCTAAATGATTTCAAATAAAAAAGTTATCAACTAAAAAGCGCATATATCTTCCAGCACTACAACTTTGGTTTCGGTTATTTCTCCATCCGAAATACTTTGAAATTTAAAAAAAAAATTCAAAATCTAAAAACTTCAAACATAATTCCTGGGCACTACAAAATGTAGTCATGTACAAAGTTGTAGATCCCTTCGAGTACTGCAACTTTGGTTTTGTTTCTCTGAGGACATTTGAAAAAATAATATCTAATTTCAAATTATAAAAACTTAAAACAAAATTTGCTGACCTTAAATGATTTCAAATGGAAAAATCGTCAGCTACAACATTGTAGATCTCTTTGAGTACTAAAACTTTGGTACAAAACCTTTTTGAGGCAGGCCAAATTGCCAACTGCCTCAAAAAAATCCATTTCTGAGTCGGCTAGAATTCTCAACCACCTCTAGAAATGCCTCCATTTCTAGAAGCGTATGGAAAGTCTAGGTGCCTCTAAAAAATGCATTTTTGGAGGCGGTTTGGTTTGCCAACCAACCTCTAAAAATAGGAAGCATTTCTAGAGGTGGCTCAAAAGCCCAGCTACCTCTAAAATCGATTTATAGTGGCAAACCATTTTTAGAGGCGGATTTTGATAGAGCTGCCTCTACACACAAAAAAAGGCGCCTCTAAAAAATGGTTTATATGCAGTAGTGATACAAGCTATTAGGAATTACTTTACATGTTCCACAAAGTTTATCCGGTTCTCAAGGCTAAGAAGCAAGATTCTTGATTAATATTTGATGTATTTTGCATCATATTTGTTTTTTACACAAAAATATATAGATTTTTGGTACTTCATCTATGTCATAAGAATAAGAAATAATTTAATTTCATAAAAAACTTTAAGTTTTGTGTCACCTTGGTAAGCATACTGAATAAATATTATGAAGTAGAGGTACTAGTTTAGACTTAATAAAGTTCTTTAAAATGTTAGAGCAACCGATCAAGGAATCTCATGAGCAATTTTATTTTTCCCAATACATCGAGAGATCTTGGATCTTTACATCGAGAGCATTTGGTTTAGAATTTGTACTCCCTCTATTCTAAATTGTAAGTCATTTTGGTTTTCTAGATTTATACTTTTTACTTATATGTAGACATAGTGTATATCTAGATGTATAGTAAAAGCTATATATCTATAAAAGACAAAAGCGACTTACAATTTAGAAAAAAACTCTACAATTTAGAACGTAAAGACCACTAAGTATGAATATTTATATACAACCCACTTTATTTAGTCTACAAATATATACATATTACATATCTACTCGAATATGAAGCTGCAGTATGTGCAAACAAACCAAAGTGGGCCTTTTTATTTTGATGGTATATAACTAACTCCCACCAAGAGTATGCCTTAGCATCTTTTTCAAATTATAGTTTATTTTAGTGTTGTCGTACATCTCTGATTTTGATCAAGTTTATGAAAAAGCTATCAATGTTTACAACATCAAATTAGTTGTCAATATTTACATATGCAAGAATTGCACTTCAAAAATGTATTTTGATTGACTCGTGACTAGGTGGCAATTCAAAGTCTACCCTGGTAAACTCTCAATCACGCACTGAATGATGAATGTGATATATGGCCACATAACTACCACAGCACTCACAGTCCAGAGTCCAGCCGCTCGCGATCGTACCACCCGGTGCCGGCGGGCGGGCGACGACCGTAACATCTGATGGGACAGTGGAATTATGGCGGGTTAGAATCTTTGCTCGCGACGGCTTTATACAGTATCCGCGCATGCACGAAACCGTATCTATAGCTTTTAAATATGAGTAGTAGTTCCGGTAGCCCAGAATATAATCCCGACACTAAACACCACGCAGACAAGCTGATTGGCTTAATATATGATGAGCTCGAGTAGAGTAATGGTTTGTGCCATGGTGTTCGCTCTGGCGTGCTTGGCGTTGCCGGCCATGCCACCTGCATCCGCAAATGACGGAGGGATACTGTATGTCCCGTCCGCTGCCACCATAGCTAGTCACTGCCCCTCCAGATGCGGGGACATCAACATCTCCTACCCCTTCGGCATAGGGGCCGGCTGCTTCCGACAAGGCTTCCAGTTCGAGCTTACTTGCAACCACACCACTCAACCTCCAAAGTTGTTTCTGGGTAACAGCACAACTCAGATTACTGACATGTCTGGCATTTATGGTTCCAAGGTATACATCCCAGCTATGTTCTTCAACAGTAGCTTGGAAGAATCTGGTACGAACACCTACAATATATCTTGGGATGCCCCGGCCAAGGGTATTACTATCCCAAGGGGTATCACTTTCTTCTTCCTTGGCTGCGATTTTGATGTTGACTTGTTTGACTCTCTGAGAAACCCAATCGGTTCCTGCATGAGCAGGTGCCACGGCAAGGTATTGCCGAATCAAGGGCCTTGCAATGGTTTTGGTTGCTGTTCCATCCGTCTACAAAACGACATCTCAGGCTTTCAAGGAACAATTGTTCGGGCTGATAATATGGCAGGACAGTCAGATCCTCTGCACCATGGCATCATGGCTTTCATGTCGGATGATGGATATTATTACATGGACAATGCGACTGATCTTTTCTCAAGTTGGACAAATGCAAGCAAGATTTATGACACTGAACTTGAGGTTGCCATCATGGACCAACCAAGCTGCAAAATCGCGCAGATGAACAAGGCAAGCTATGCTTGTGCCACCGACAGCTATTGCCAAAATGAGTCATATGGAGGTTACAGCTGCCACTGCTACAATGGTTTTTCCACAGCCAATGCTTACCTTTCCGAAGGATGCATGCAAGGTGCTCCCTGCTTGCTTTTCTCTAAAAAAAAAGAAAATATTTAACATTTTATCTTCTTGTTCTTACTCTTATCGATCTATTGTTATGAAGCAGATTACAACCCCAAGCCCAATGAGCATTGCCGGAGGTCATGTGGCAACATGCCCATTCCCTTCCCTTTCGGGCTCGAAGAAGATTGTTTCGGAAACGAAAGGTTCCTACTTAACTGTACAGCCGCAAATGAGACGCTTTTTAGCACAGCATATGCACAGTATCACGTGACTGGTCTGTCAGTAGAAGACGGGACTCTGACAGTTAGCAACGTGCTAAACAATGCTAGCTCCTTGAAAGAAGTAATAATAGCTCTGGACACCGAAAGTCGAGTCGTGGACATGGACGGCCCTGTGGAAGACGAATTTGATTTTTCTATGGAATATGACATTGTTATACGATGGGCTGTTACAAATTCATCTTGTGAACAAGCTATGCATGGGAATAGAAGTATGTATGAATGCCGCAGTGGAAACAGTGATTGCAAAAACGTGATCCATGGGAAAACATTTATGGGATATCGTTGCAAGTGTTCTACTGGCTACACAGGAAATCCATACATACAGGACGGCTGCACAGGTACATACCTTTCCTCCTTCACTATGTGCTACAACATAACATAGTTCACACCCGAAAATGGAAAGAAAATTAACAAATTCACGTACTCTAAAAATTTTGTAATTTGTAGTTCAATCCGACTAGGCAGATTTAGACAGAAGATTCCTTTTCATCGGCTTGGTATGCAAGTATGCAACCACAGATTATGATGATCAACATATATAAATAACGAGAATTGACTGTCTACAGATATTGATGAATGCTCACTGCCAAACTACTGCAACGGTACATGTCAAAACATTCCTGGAAACTATACGTGCACACCGTGCTCTCATACCCAAGAATTTGATTTCATCAAGCGGCGTTGTGTTACATCAGCTAAGCAACGAAATCTTCTTTTAGGTAAGCCATAGCATACAAAACTCCCTTGAAATTATAATTTGTAAACGTTAACATGATTTCATAACAACAACAAATGCATATAGGTATTGCAATTGGAACTGGTTGTGGCCTTGGCTCCATATTTATTGGATTGGGGGTAATTCTACTTGCCAATAAGTGGAAGAAAGGCATCCAAAAGAGACTTCGGCGAGCATACTTCAAGAAAAATCAAGGTTTGCTATTGGAGCAACTGATCTCAGATGAAAGCGCTGCTAGCAAAACAAAGATATTCTCATTGGAGGAACTAGAGGAGGCGACTAACAACTTTGATGCTACTCGTGTTCTTGGTCGTGGAGGACATGGAACAGTTTATAAAGGGATTCTATCAGACCAATGTGTGGTGGCCATAAAAAAATCCAAAATAGTGGAGCAAATAGAGATAGACCAATTTATCAATGAAGTTGTCATTTTGTCCCAAATCATCCATCGTAATGTGGTGAAACTGTTTGGTTGCTGCCTAGAAGATGAAGTTCCCTTGCTTGTCTATGAGTTCATTTCAAATGGCACTCTATATGAACTTCTTCACATGGATACTACATTAAAATGCATGCTTTCATGGGATGATCGCCTGAGGATTGCAGTGGAAGCATCCGGGGCTCTGGCTTATCTACACTCAGCAGCTACAATACCAATTTTTCACAGAGATGTGAAGTCTTCAAATATACTCTTGGATGACAACTTCACCACAAAGGTTTCAGATTTTGGTGCTTCAAGATCTCTTTCACTTGATGAGACCCATGTGGTGACAATTGTTCAAGGAACATTTGGTTACATGGATCCAGAGTATTATCATACCGGTCAACTAACAGAGAAGAGTGATGTATATAGTTTTGGAGTAATACTTGTGGAACTCTTGACAAGAAAGAAGCCAATTTTTATTAATGATTTAGGTGCAAAGCAAAGTTTGTCCCATTTCTTCGTTGAAGGACTTCACCAAGGGTCTCTTATTGAAATAATGGATACTCAAGTTGTGGAAGAAGCAGACCAGGAAGAGATTAGTGAAATTGCCTCACTTGCAGAAGCATGCTTAAGTGTAAAAGGAGGAGAGCGACCGTCTATGAAAGAAGTGGAGATGAGGTTGCAATTCTTAAGAACAATGAGGCTGAGAAAAAGACATCATTTACCCGAAAAAGATGGAGATATTGAGCCTTTGTTATGTGGAAAATCTAAGAACTCACTTAAACATATCGATCTTATTAATGCTGCACATATTCCACCTCAAGAGACCTCGAGATGCTACGGTTTGGAACAAGAATTTGTATCTTCGTTTAGGCGACGCTAACTGCATTAGGGTAAGATTATAGAGGGCTTGCTTATATACTGCTGCACCTGAGATATCATATATTTAGAAGTTGCATTTAATTTCATATCTTTGGATGAGATTGTATCACACATATTCATTTTCTGTGTAATATGCACAATGTATTATAGACCAGATGGCTTGTATCCTTCTATATGATGGCTTGTATCCCTTCTATATTTTCTGTAGATGCATATAGGGTATAGCATCAGGTCCCTGTATTAAAGATAAGGTTCTATAAGAACATAGTTGTGGTTGTCGACAAGTCTATTGATAATTGGATATCAATTGCCAATGGCTCAATCAGTGGCTCCGGTAGGCATCAGACTAATACATGATTTCAACTACAACACATTGCTGCACTTTTTGTCATAATCAGGCTAGCACATGATTCCAGTAGGCATCAGACTAATGTGAATTGACACTCATATATGAGAACAGAAAGATATGGCAAACTCACTCTTCCCTTCAATGTCCTTGCATGACAGTAGCAACTTCGTTGTCCTTTCATGACATTATCAATAGCATGGCCATCACGTGTATTCAACACAGAACTTCAAAGTCGCATTTGTAGATATGAAAGTATGTACAAGTCTACCCTACAGATGCAACTGATCTGTATATGGAAAATCTGAATTACTAGCTTGTCGCATTTAGACTTTTAAAACTTCTGCAAGTGTGGGCGCGCGTGGATCATCAGTACCTATATTTTGAATATTTTGTACCAACTATCGGTATTACATACATGAAGCAATACATTCCACTGAAAATGACCATGGCACAAGAGAGCCTACCAATTCAAGGAGACAACAGTAGCCAAGGCCACGGGGGACGCCTCAACCGGGTGCTCGTGCTGGGAGCCATGGAGGGGAGGGGGGGAGATCCCGAGCCCGAGGGGAGCAGTGGAGCAGGCCCCACTCAGGCGCTCAGCCTGTTCCGCTTGCTCTACTGACTGGCGACTACCGACCCTGCGGCGACCTATCACAGCAAAGTGTGGCACTTAGCAGCGTCGGCGGCGAGGAGTCGAGGACAGAGTAAGTAGCATTGACTGACGGCTTGGCGCAGGAATTGTTGGGCCTCAAAGGATTTTCTTCGGTGGGCCAGGGCGGTGCTTGCGTAAATATGGCCAAGAACTGTTGCCAGCGGCTTGGGTCAAGGATGACTTTTAACATAGCAAGCATCCAGGTAGCTAGCATGGTCACCGCGCTTGGGCCTCATCCTCACGTCACCAGACAATCCTACTACCAATTCAGTGTTGTTGGTGCTTTGCCTTGATTTGCTAGCAGGGTTTTCCTTAAGTCACTGGATCACCTAACATGATCCGATCCAAGTTATGGCTCTGACCACACTGCGGTGCCTGCAAGCGTGACCCTAGTAATTGGGCCATGGTATAGTGTAACCAAATGTTTAAAGCACTACTCTACAAATCCAATGCTAAGAACATGCACATTTCAGTTGTCAGAGGATACGAAGTTATGAACTTTGTTCTAAATTCAGATTTCAGAGTCGTGAGTGCATCATGGTAGGTGCCCACTCTCTGTTTAGGCATCCTTTTCATAAACTGATCCTCTCAGTCCATATGGATTAGAGTGAAAATGTACTAATTTTCTACCTTGAATTGAAGGCCATTGATATGTTTTCAGACAAAGTGGAAGCCACTAGAGAGTCATGCCTAACGTAATGACCCACAAAATTCTGAGAAGCAATGGGGCACTTAGTCGTGGTACTTTGGTTTTGACGTTTTCCATACCTACAAACAATCACAATGAACTAGTGGGCTCTAATGGTGGTAGATGTTTCAAGCGACAGACTTGACTCGACTAAGAGCATCCCTATTAGCCTCTCATTAATAATCTATCTATACTCCAATATATAAATACTAAGGTAACTGTCGGGGACCAATACTCGGGTACCCGAAGAGGAGGAGTTAATACCCGTCAACATTGATTCCTCCCAGCATTAGGATCACGACTACACCTCTTGCTGGACGCCGTCTCATCCATCCACTAAGGCCGCGGGCTCCGCCTCGTCCGGCCCCGAGGGTCGGCTCGGCCTCGGCTGGCTCCCGATGGTTGGCCCTGCCTTGTCCGACCCCTGAGGGCTGTCTCTGCCTCGGCCGACGTCTGAGGGTTGTCTCCACCTCGCCCGACCCCTGAGGGTTGGCTCTGTCCCGTTCGACGTCTGAGGATTCGCTTCGCCTCGCCCGACGTCTGAGGGCTGTCTCTGCCTCGTCCGACGTCTGAGGGCTGGCTCTGCCTGGCCCGATGTCTGCGCACTACTCCTGTACAACAACACACGGAGCAGATAAGGCAAGGCGCTCGAAGTCAACCGCAATACCGAGGACCGTACCCTGCATCCCTACAGAACAGTACCATTAGGCCATGCCAGAAGGGTGCTTTGTGACCTTCCAGGCATGTCAGAGCCCAAACAGTGTTGTAGGCGCCGACATTTACCCTACAATATTGTGGGCGCTGTCATTTGCCCTCGATCATGGATCATCACGGAAGCTAACGACAACCACTATGGTCTAGGATGACACTCGCATCACCTACAGTAATGGACGTGCGGTAACTACGCCGACTGCTCCCTGTATGGTCATGGATCAGCACCCTGGTCCGTCGCACCGCCCATCGGAGCGGGATGGGCCGTGACAACTTACTGACAATGCTAGAACATGACATTGTCAGTGGACAAACGCCCAGCACGGCCCTATCAGGATCAGCGGACATGCCCTAGTGTGGGGTTATCCCTGGCACCACCTGCCATGTCAGCAGGACTCGCACAGAGGAAAAGGAAGACCCAACATCTTTGAAGGACCTCCTTTGCCTCTGGTTTTTCTTCTTTCTCCTATCTGTAATCCCTGCTCTCCCTTGGCCTATAAGAGGGAAGGCAGGGTGCCCCACTAAGGGGATCGATCGATAAAACAAACCACGCATCACATCACACATAGCTGAGTAGCGACCAAGCTTTCAGCACCCATTCGACCTTTCCATCAGAGAATTGGGATCTTTCCCTCTCTCGCCCTTTTGTACCCCCTACTATGAACTTTTTAGTGCAAATAACATGAGCAACAACCACGAACTAGACGTAGGGACATTCTGCCCCAACCAGTATAAACCTCATGTCTTTTTAGCACACTATCCGGGTCAGACGAG